CTGAAAATTGTAGATTTAGAAAGGTTGACTTCTCCATTACCAATAGAGTTGTCAGGGCGCTCAATAAAACACAAACATTTCTTATTTATTACAAGAATAGCATTAAAAGGTTTAAGATAAATCTGAAATTATTATTACAACTATGGTAGGTTCATAGAATACAGTTTTAGTCTATAAAGTAAATTACTACCGTGTTTTCCCGAAAATAAGACAGGGACTTATTTTCTTTTTACCCACAAAATATGGCTTGGGCCTTATTATGAGGGGGGGGTTTATTGTTTTGGGGTTGCTGGGTGGCTGCTCTCTTGTGAGCAGGCTCCCAAAGAGCCGGGCACAGCCTCATAGGCGAATGGCTGTGTTGCGCTGTCGCAGCAGTGCAACACAACAGCCATGAAGCGACCACGCTCATGAGCAGCCACCCGGCAAGCTCCCTTTCCAGCCAGGTACAGCGCCATTCACTGACCTAGGGGTATCGCCAAGCTGCGTGAGCACCTGTTCGCCGCCGCCCAGCTCCCGCGGCTCAGCGCCTTCAAAATGCCAGTGAATGGCGTTCTGCACGGCTGGAGAGGGGGTTGCATGAGCGGCTGTTCCACTCACATGCCTCCCTGCCTCACGATACCCTGGCCCAGCTCTCCCTGCAGAGTCAGGGCACCTTCGCTGCCGCCATCCCAGCATGGTTTTTTCGGCGGCTTCCAAACCGAGTCTTCCAGCAGTGGCTGCTCTGGGTGTATGCTCTATGGTTGTATGCTCTGTCGGCCGCTGGCCCACAAACATAGAGCGTACGCCCAGAGTGGCCACTGCTGGAAGACTCGGTTTGGAAGCCGCCGAAAAAGCCATGCTGGGATGGCAGCAACGGCAGCAGCGGAGGTGCTCTGGCTCTGTGGGGAGAGTTGGGCCAGAGCATTGTGAGGCTGGGAGGTGTGCAAGTGGGAGCGGAACAGCCGCTCACGCAACCCCCTTCTCCAGACGTGCAGAGCGCCTTTCACTAGCATTTCGAAGATGCCAAGCCACGGGAGCTGGATAGCGGCGAACAGGTGCTCACATGGCTTGGCGATACCCATAGGTCAGTGAATGGCGCTGGAAAGGGGGTTTGCCGAGTAGCTGCTCGTGAGTGTGGTTGCTTCATGGCGGTTGCGTTGCGCTGCTGCGACAGCGCAACACAGCCATTCGCCCATGAGGCTGTGCCCGGCTCTTTGGGAGCCCGTTCACAAGAGAGCAGCTGCCCATTAACCCCCCTCTTCAGCTTGGCACAGCGCTGCTCACCAACCTATCAGTATCCTGAATGCGCCAAGCAACGCGATCACCTTTGCCTCCCCCCGGTTCCTGCGGCTTGGCACCTTCGGGATCCCGCTAGGTTGGTGAGCGGGTCTCTGTTTGGCTGGAGGTGGGGGGTTATCCAGGGGGCTTATTTGCGGGGGAGGGCTTATATTTTTGCCCACCAGAAAAATGTGGCATGGCCTTATTATCAGGACATGTCGTATTTTTGGGAAAACACGGTAATCTCAGTCATTGTTGCCCGCCCTAAACAGCCTCTTTCATAACTTATCCCTGAAACACACACATAGAGACACAAACATCTACACTATACTTCATTTAGAAAGCATTATTTCAAGTAGCTACTAGAAGTCCTCACCTGCTTCATTGTCTGGGTTCATATTCTAATAATAACTACATGTTATTATTTGGAAGGATGCATTTATACAAATCACTGTGAATAAATGTTGTAATCTTATGGGAAGCCGAGAAGGATAAAATATCCATTTACCACAACCAAAAGCCTAAGTAAAAGCTAAAGAAAAAAACTTCTCAAAATGAAGACTAATATTACAATAGTTCTTGTTTAGCAACTACAATAAGGAATTGCTATCCAGAGTCCTTCCCAAATCTTCATGCCACCAAACTGCCCCTTCATAATTCATCCCAGATCCCCACCCATTTTTTGATTATCCCAGTGTTGCACCCAAGTGTCTGCCCTCAATGCAGAAGAAAACATGAAGCAGTAATTTCAGCCTGGTTGACATTTTAACTTTCTAATACGTCTGAGCTCGCCTAACTCTTTGAAAGAATAAAGTTTAAGTGTTTTTTTCATTATTTCAGAAACAAAATATGCAAGTAAAATCAAATATTCATCGATTTCTCCCAAAGATGGCTGCTGAACAGTAAGGATTTTTTTCTCTTCTACTGAAAATCTGCTGATTTTGCTGCCAAAGCTGATACTTTGGCAGCCCTGCTCTCTGGATTTCAATGGGAATACTTGGGAATGACCCAAGATGGTATTTAGGTTACTGTGGACCCACCCAGGACAAGGTATCTTGAAGATTACAGTTCTTAGTTGGAGCAGTGGAAAATCAGGTCATATATCTTTTTCCTTCTGCTAGACCATTCTCTTAGACATGCCTGGGTGGTGAACAAGCATTTTAAAGCATTTTGTTTTGCTTTGTTTCTATCTCAAAAATTGACCAGTCTTTTTTGAATAACCTTTGTTTTCCGTAAGGAAAACATGGCATGCCTTGGAATAGTGGAAGTTTAGATTTCATTTACATCTATTTTGGACTATCACTACACTTCAAAGATTATTTTTTCAAAATTCTATTTATTCTGGACTGAAACATCTGCCTCTATTCTGATGAATATCTTCCCAGTCTCAGAGGCGCTTTACCTCTCCCTTGCCAAATTATATTAGAGCAACAATGTATCAGGTTACAGACAACTAAGTATGGCTGGTAAAAAAAAGACCTTTTGGTAATATGCAAACCCAAGATAAAAACCAAGTAATAATGTTTGCAAAAACATCCAAATGCGAGAAATTTGAGTTAAATTAGATCACAAAAGGAATTTGATTTGAGAGTGGTAGAGAATGATAGTGCAGGAGACTGATACAGATGTTTAAACTTAGAACTGCCTGAGGGGAGTATGCATGCCTTCCCAAAGTTCAAGCTTGCCCTCTTTTACAACAAGAAAAAATTGAATGGACAAGTGAAGAAGTTTGGGAAATTCAATTAGAAAAATAATTTCATTTGGACTTTCTGGAAAAGATAGATCAATTTTGAAGAATGGGTCTACTATATTTAACTAGACAACAATCGATAAAAGATGGCATTAAGGTACAATTATGGATATTTGATCCATACAAATCAGAGTTAATTGCTGGGATGATTGGGGATAGAAAAGAAGCCATGGTAAACTTCTTGTAAGTTGAATACAACAAGAGTTTGTTAACAATGGTTGTTATTTTGTTCTTGCCTTTTTTGTTTGTTTGTTGTTCTATCTGTTTGTGAACTATTTGGCCATTAATATAGTAGACAGATGACAGGATAATAATTTTAAACAGAATTAGATATTTGAAAAATTTTGAGCCCTGTTTAGCAAGGGGTGGGAAACAAATATTATTGTAATATATTTATCAATATTCAACTAAAAGGGATAATATACATAGTTGTGTTTATGTTTTTTTTTCCTAAATGCAGTTTTTCAATGTTTTGTTTCTTTTGCTTTTCGGTTTATTTATTCCTGTGAATCTTTTTTTTTACAGTTTTGAATTTTAACATTTTTGAATAGCAATAAAAAATATTATGACAAAAAATCAAATATTCATAAAAAAGAGAAATACAAATATCATATAGTTTACTCTCAGCAAACAAACAAACCAAAAACAAAATTCATTTTCCACCATTTGTATTAAATACACCTACCTTAACAACAGGATTCAGAAGAATAACGCCTGATTTCTTTGTAATCACATGTTTTGTTGTATAATGATATTCTATAAGCTGAGGAATTGTTGAAAATCCTGTTCCTTCAAATCTGTATTGATTCTATAAGACAAAATTGAGGAAGAAATACAAAAGTTAAGCAACGGGAGCTCTTTCCATTAATAAAGTCATGCCTGACTTTACTGCTGTTTTATGCAATGAATTGTCTTTTAAGAGCTTCTACCAGAGAATGCTGAAAAGATTTACTAAAGTGTACTTATTTGGATAATAAATAATGTATGGCTTAGTTTGCTAAACCATAGTTCAGCAGCTAGAAACATTTGGAAATATAAGTTAATAATTACTTCTTTCTTCTCTCGCTTCATGAAGATTCAAATGATAGTTTAACATTTTGTTCATTGTTGTTATATCCAACATCTGAATTGTAGCCAATATACATATTTACTAAATAAAATTGCAAACTTAATTTAAAACAAAATGTTTATTTATAGTTTCCTCAAGCAAGGTCATCAAATGAGGATATGTGGTATATAACCAAACTGAACCTCTGTGGAAATAATTAAAAGCACTGCCATGCTATAAAAATGCGCAGGAAATTACAGCTTAATTGAACAGAACTTTAGGTGTTTTTTTTCAGTAAATTGAGATAAATATTATATCTTATGGACAGAAAAACCACAAACTGTCTTCAAGTACAAGAAGCAATATTCAGTGTATGACTTGAAATACTTCCAGATTTAACAAACATCACAACATTTATAACTTTTGTTCTAAGCCATGAAATAAAAATTAGAATGGAGTAGCAACTACTGTTGGACCTATTTTCTAATAGTTGTTTTTAAAACAAAACAATAGAAACGTCTCCTATTGAAAGTAGTTGAAATATACAGTATCTCTTTTATCTCTAAAATATTTTAACAGGATATAAATAGATATTGTTCATCTAAAGCAAAATGAGAATATATAGTAATTAGAAAAATAGTAAGGTTTTAACAATCTAATATTCCTCTGAAACACATTGTGATGAATAATAGAAACAAAGAAAATAGAGATTTTATTCCCACTGAAATCAAAACTTGATTGCTTCATAACTCTTGTTCTAGAATATTAAGTGATAAAAAATAATGTGCAGCTCAAACAAATATAAACACAAACACACACATACACACACAAGTGATTTGCTTTTCTGAAATAGTTCTGGTCAGCTACAATTGTCTTTAAAATTGCTTTTAATAATGAAGTCTTTTGAGATAATGTTTGAGCAAGGTTTTTAAAAAACTTCATTAACACCAAAAATATAAGCTGATTATATAATACATTAATCATTACACCATAAAACTTCAGAGTGCTAAATATATCTTGTGTGTATCAAGGAGATTTTCAAGACACAGAAGATTAAGAATCTTTATTTAGCTCTATCACTATCTGCTTCTTGCAGAGCAATAACCCAATCCCATCATTTCATATCATCTCCATCCCTACTTTATTCAGGGAACGTTATTTCACACTCTTCATATTTTAATATTCCCTGTTTAGTCTTTTGTGCAGTAAATGCTTGAAGTGTTTTACCTCTGTGGATTCTTTTGAATTTAAATGCTTGAGTGATTTAGTTCTACTAAGAAGTTTGTGTGAAAAAAGTGAATTAAGCATTCCTCAAATTAGAAATATTTATTTCACAATTCAATGAAACAGTTGTGAATTATTTATTGCATGTATACTACAGCTTTATGAAAAGTTGTCTGGCCTTATTAGGACATGCATTTTCTACCCTAATCAGGATCAGTAAAAAATGAAGCATAGGTATCCCTCCTACCACAGTTTCATGATTTTAGGAGAATTTGTTTGAATAATTAACTTCCCCCATCCTCCCTTTTACTAGTAGTATACCTCTGAAGAAAAGGAACAGCTTGTATAAAACTCTGAAGTCTGGAAACTGAGTATGCCAGTGTTACTGAGAACATTCTTTTATTTATTCGTTCATTCATTCCATTTATACAATGTGTACTCAACTACAGATTCATTGCAGTTTACAACATCAACAGTAAAGCATTCATAATTTATAATCAACAATTAAAAAACCCAGAGTACAAATATAAACTTATAAAAATCTAAATATAAAATATAAAAAAGCAAATTCAGCCAATTGGAGTAATATATAAATCTACACTACTATTACAAAAGATGGTGACAATATAGAAATTCACCAAATGCTGTCCAGAAGATCGCCATTCTGAGGAACTTCGCAATAGTAGGGGCAAGCCTTAATTCTAAGGGGAGGTATCTCCTGGCTTCAGTTGCCCTCACTTCTTTGGACCTGGGGTACGATCAAGTGTTTCTTCTGGCATGAACATACTGCTTTGGCCAATTCAAATGAGAAATGGTGCTCTTGGAATTACCAGGCACAAGCCATACAGGCTTTACAGGGGGAGGGAATCAGCACTTTGAACAGCATTCAAAAAACTATTGGCAATGAATGTAGGGACTAAGGCACATGTATACTTGGAGGTAAAACCCAACAATTACTAACAAGTTGCATTTTGCACCAATTCCAGTTTCTGAATGCTCAAGGGCAGCCTCCTGTAGAATCCTCCTCCTAACATATTCCCGCAGGTGCAGGGTCTGCTTTTTGGATCATTGAACGCCACTTTGCACGATTAGCTGCGTCTCCAGGGGTCAGGCCCATGGCTTGCATATCTTTGTTGATGGTGTCTTGTCATCTCTGTTTTGGACGCCTGTGGGGCTGCTGGCCATTAACTTCTAATTGGTAGGCAGTCTTGGCAACGGTGGAAGGTGCTGCTCTCTGGATATGTCCATACCAGTGGAGCCGGCCTTCTCTCATCTCTGTAATTGGTGCCACACCAAAATGCAAATGGTGTCATTTGTGATGTGATCAAGAAGGGAGATATCCAATGGAGTATTCACATTTCTATGACATGAAGATAACTTTGAGTCCCTGTTGCTGCCCAGCATTCAGTGTCATACAGTGCAACAGGGAGGATGGTTGTCTTGTAAATCTTAGATTTAAGATGAGTTGGCATTCGTATGTCACATAACACACCAGTGAGTTCTCGCCAACGCATCCAGGCTTGCTCACACCATTGATATCACCATTGTGTTGGAGATGGGATCCCAGATATTGAAAAGTATCCACCTTCCTTAGGTTTTCTCCATTGATTTGAAGTGTTCCAGGGCTAGTAATCTCTAAGTACTCAGTTTTCTTGATATAGAATGCACTGCAATAGTCTTATTGCACAGTGATGCTTTGGCAATTATCATTTTTAGAAATTGCTACATAAGGTTCTAGACACGAAATTCAAGAATAACTGGAAGAACCAATTGAAAAAATAAAAAACTGCACCCCTCTGAAAAATTAGATCAGTGCCTTTTTAGATAAAAATGGCAACTGGCAATCACACAATTCTAAAGATCTCTAATTAGAAATTAACAACAGAGCAAAGAACATTCCTATGTGCCACTTCAAAGGTTGAAAGATTACTATTGAAAACTTCTGAATTCTGAATCAAATGCACAGAACAGTACTTATGGCTGTTAAAAGGTAGTTAATGATTTCTTAGCTTTAAAAAGAAGGTAAGTAACATAATGCCCAAGCTGTGCATAATTATTCAGCTATCTAACTATAATTTAAACCTAATTATGTCGCTATTGAAATCAAGTGTACTTCAATCACTTACAAAATCAATGTCAAACTTACATCAGCATATTGAATGATAAAATGTCTCCGTTGTCCATCAGAAAACACAGAAAGGACATATTCACCAGGCTTCCCATGGCTCTCTCGCACCAAAAAGTCCCCTTGCTGTTTTAATAGCTCTTGAGCTTCTATTCTTGGAATTGCCCCATGATACCAATCTTGTTCTGCCAGGGGTTTTTCACTCGCTGATATTACATCAAAAAACTTAAAGAAAAATATGAAAAAGAATGATTAATATAATGCCAAGTTTGAGAATCAAGTTACTGTAGTTGTTAAAGGCACTGGGCTAAAAATGGAAGACTGTGAGTTGAGGTCTAATTCTGCCTTAGGCATGAAATCAGCTGGGTAACTTGGGGCAGGTCACATTTCAGACTGTGAAAGTTGACCTAGCCAACCCAGAAAGAAACTAGTAGGCCAATAAACCACATTGGTTACATTCACTGGCTATATGTTAAAGATAATATAGATAGCATGCTGATCTAGTAATAAGGGATAAATAATGAGAATGTCATCCATTTATCGAAACATCCCAACATCAATAGTGTAGTTTATTCTGCCTGCCTTTGTCTTGTCTTTTGTAGCAGGCCAAAGGTATATAAACTGTGATTCTGCTTTTGCTCGGGGCAGCTCAGGAAGCTGCCAATGCTTTGCTGCAAACTCAGTGCTATACACTGTTGTTATTTCCATACTTAATAAATGTATGTTATATCTTCAAAGTAATTTGGTTTTTTAGGTGATCCAGGTTTTGTAACTAACCATGGTTACAACATGAACTAAAATTAACATAATCCATTGGAGAACAATGGATTATGTTAATGGGAACAATGGCTGTTCCCATTCATATTTTCCCATAAGATAATCGCATCAAGTTAAATCAAATATTTAACAAGAAGTGAGAGCATATGACAGATAAAGCTGACATTGGAAAATGATGATGTAACCTATATCAGCACATTTTCAACTGAAAACCCTGATGAAATCACAGGTTTAATTAATTTAGAAGTGTTAACAGTCAAATAAGGCAGTGGGTACAAACATGACAAGCAGATGAATGACTAAGAGAAGCCCCAAATGGACCAATAAAAGTGTACAGCATTTCTTTTCAGCCTTTTTGTTTTCAATCCTGTTGGCCCACCCTTTGCATTCTGGTAATAGCCATTAGGTTGATAGCATGACCCTAGATAATGCTTAGGCACTTGGTCCCAGGGACAGACATTTTTTTTATTATGATTATACTTGAAATTTGATGACTTGCTTCATCACAATAAAATCAATTTATATATATTTATAATCCAAACTTTGCTTATTAAATGAGTGTGCATCTGTACTTTGGGAGTTCAAACGTTTGAATTCTTTAGAAGTGGGTTTCATCTACTGCAGACTGTTAGGAAATACCATTCTCAATATAGGAAGTACTATAAACATTAATCAAATAAATCATTCTATAGCAAATAACAGAAAATTATGCAGAAAATAGTGAAAGCCATTTTTTTCTTAATAAAGACAAAAGAGTACATTACCTGCCCACTTATTGATGAAGAGCCTAACATAGACTTTGGGGATCTTATCATACCAGCAATGGAATGTCGGATAGTATCAAACCTGGAAACTTTATCTTTTTTATCCTAAGAAACAAAGAGAAGAAGAAATAGTCCAACAGAATATGGTTTCCTGGTCTTAGTTTTTGTCTAAAACATTAACATGTTTGAATAGTTTTGACAAGAATAGACAATGACTATTAAAAAAGAAAATGTTTTTCATATATTACCAAAAATATACAAAATGGTCTCATTCTATAACACTGATTTTTTTTCTTTTTAAAAACTTAAATGCATTTTATTAAGTGAAACTATGTATATTTTATTTTCATTTTTCTATTTTGTATCTTCCTGGGAAGTTTTCCTTGGCACTTTTTCACCACAACAAATCTATGTAATGGTTCAAATGGAACAAATAGGTTAGAGATTTCTCCAAGAGAATGTGGTCTACATGTAGCATTCTGATTCTGGTAGATTGAAATAAAGAGCACAATACAAACTGAACAGTACTGTATAACGTATTCAGAAGAAAGAAGCCATATAAAAGGGAAAGAGTAATGGAATTACAGTATATGTAAACGAAACGTAGGCCTATACTGAAATCTACGGATTTGAGCATGAGTTCCAAAAGCATAAGCATGAGTTCCAAAAAAAATCCTTTGTGTAAAAATGCAAGTGCTATATATTGCTAATTTTCTAGATTCTACTCACTATGTGTATTGGCAAATTTAATTTTGATTAACTTCTTTCATATCTTACTTTTAGGAGTGCTTTCTTACACTTCAATATATGATGTTGCTGCTTAAATAGTGGCAATGGTATATCATCCACAGAAAGATTGCAAAATCAACCCAAAACAATGCAATACATTGTTATTCTTGATACCATCTTTTAATAATGACTCAGTTACTACATTACCATAGGTGGAGTGTCTAATTTTGCTTCTAGGTCTTCCAGGCATTGGGCTGATGAGAATATTTCATGTGCCTTAGTAATGTCAAGACAAAGGGCGTTTTTTCATATAAACGAATTATAGGAATAATTAGCAGCAAAATGACTCATTCTCACATAACTAAAGGCGGAAACATTATTTTGTCCAAACTACTTCAAATAATGCATTAGTATTGCATTCACCAAGATTCTATTTCTTAACTGTTGTCTGTAGAACAGATGACTGAAATAACATCCTTAACCATTATATTTAGCCTGGCTTCCTTTAGTATATATATTTACTGCCTTTTAAGATATTAATATTTTCCTAGTTAAGTATTTTTAAAAACTAGAAAGCAGAAATGTTGACAAGTGAGAATTTGCTAATTTTAAGATGGACAGCAAAACAGCTGTCTAAACTACTAGCAAATGTATGGAACAGATTGCTTTGATGTGTGAGCAAACACATCAGTTAGAACAAGTTAGATATAGGACAATACATCTCAATTTTCTGACCTAAAATTTGTCTAGAAGAAGGGAGACCATTTATAGTCTTATAACAATTACCATCTGCTTTTGAATATTCTCACATTAATAATTTGATATTTATACATGTATACTTTTTGCAATATATATTAAAGCTAAGTCATAGAAATAATTCACTTTTTTAATGGAATAATAAAGACAAAGGTAAATAAGTATTTGGCCTAGGATAGTAAAGACAGCTTTACATAAAGCCTTATAATAAAAGCCTTACATTTATCAGAAAAGACAGTAAAATGTACATCAAACAGGACAGATAGAATCTGACATCTTTCAAAAGCACATCCTTTAGGGGTTTATAAAATTCTGCTCAAGGCATAAATGTGAGAAAATTGTCAGAGAAAAAATACAAAAACAAGTATCTTGATAATTGCCAACAGTAATTGGTAACGGCAATTATTATGATTCCTTGATAAAAAATGGTTTGCTTTACCTTTGTAAAAATTATTTACGCCTATGTCTATAGACTCTTTTTGCATTGGGTTCTTATTAAGAGAGTCGGGAATGCTTAAAACTGATTCAGACAAGCAGTATATAAAAAAGAAAGAATGAAAAATATAGTGTGCTGTACAAACCAATAAATTAACTTAGCAATCAAAAGTTTAATAAATACTAGATTGTTACTTGTAAACCAGGAATTGCAGCTTAATGAGTTTCAGAAGTGATCAGTCTAGCACACAAATTGGTAAGGTAGAGGAGGGTCCCCAACCCCCAGGGCATGGCCCACACAAGCAGACAGCTGGTGCACTACCACAGCTTGATTTGCACAATCAGGGGGCCGGTGTGCATGCATGCAACTCGACTCATGTGAGTGGCAGGTTCGAACGCACACACATGCATGGGCCCAGTTCCCCTCTCCCCCCAGCTGGGCCACCAAGCCTTAAAGATTGGGGACCACTGAGTTAGAGGATAGGCAGCTGTCCTTGAAGAAGGTATTCAGTATCTGTTAAGTAAGCCCTGAAAGGCAGGATAAAGTCAGAAAGAAATGCCAGATTGCTGTCTTGATTCACTTTGGTGCAAAGGTAAACAGTCAAAATTCTGTCGATATACCCTGAAGTAACAGAATTCCAATAATCCTTGTGACATCTATTTCCTATTCTATCTTCTTTGAAAGGCTGACAAGAACTTTTATTCCAGCAGTACATAAGATGGGCATGGGAAAAACAAGAAGGAAATGTTGAATTCAGAAGTTTTGTATAGCCACAATATAAACCAGAAATTTATTGAATAGTTTTTGGGATATATGGGCAGTGGATTAAGCGAAGGAGGAACAAAGATTTAAAGTGGAGGTTCTATGTACAGTAGAAGTAGTTGTTGCATTAAAGAGTAAATCAAATGTTATGTAAATTAGTTAATACAATACAATAGCAGAGTTGGAAGGGACCTTGGAGGTCTTCTAGTCCAACCCCCTGCCTAGGCAGGAAACCCTATACTGCTTCAGACAAATGGCTATCCAACATCTTCTTAAAGACTTCCAGTGTTGAGGCATTCATAACTTCTGGAGGCAAGCTGTTCCACTGATTAATTGTTCTAACTGTCAGGAAATTTCTCCTCAGTTCTAAGTTGCTTCTCTCCTTAATTAGTTTCCACCCATTGCTTCTTGTTCTACCCTCAAGTGCTTTGGAGAATAGTTTGACTCCCTCTTCTTTGTGGAAACCCCTGAGATATTGGAACACTGCTATCATGTCTTCTCTAGTCCTTCTTTTCATTAAACTAGATATACCCAGTTCCTGCAACCGTTCTTTATATGTTTTAGTTTCCAGTCCCCTAATCATCTTTGTTGCTCTTCTCTGCACTCTTTCTAGAATCTCCACATCTTTTCTACATTGTGGTGACCAAAACTGAATGCAGTATTCCAAGTGTGGTCTTACCAAGGCATTATAAAGTGGTATTAACACTTCACATGATCTTGATTCTATCCCTCTGTAGTCCCTCTGTATCCCTCCAAGTTCTTTAACTTGGGATAGTCTGCATCAACCTCAGTAGATTACTTGGATTATGAAGTTCTCTTCCTCTTGTGAAGAGAAAAGAGGAGACTTGTTAAAGGGATCATTGGCTATCAATGTAGCAGATTGCAAGAAAAAGGACCTAAACTTCAAAGGATGTTTTGTGCTTCTCAAGTAATCTCAGAATTCCTAAAACAGGAAGATTAATTTCCATCTCTCAAACCATTCTTGTGCCATCTCTAAAAAGTAATTGTCTTTTACTCTAAGCTACCTATTTCATACCAATACTATGAGAAAGCAGAATAATTTTTCAGGAAGTTTCCAGATGGCACTCATTCTTTGACTGGATTGAGTCACAAAAAATATTCAGAATGCTGAGAAGATAATGTTCCTAAAAGCCAACTGTTAGCTATTAAAAACAGCAGCTTTGAAAGAAAATGTTTGCCAAATATGCAAAAATTCTAATACCCAAAACACCTTGATATTGATTTATAATAATGCATCAGAATGCAAGGAAAAGTTTTCAGCTTACAATGTAAAATTGGATAATCAAATAGTTGCATTTATGGACAGAGAAAACAGTAAAAAAATTGTTCAAACTGATAGTTGAACTTGGAATGTTCAACTCTAACACTCCAAGTTCAACCCAAACAAAATACTATTAATTAAAGGAAGTCAATTCATTTCATGTAAACATCCTGCTTGCCTTTTAGGTTTTTTTTCTTTTTTAACAGATGCATATACTTTTGTGCTTATTGTTTTGCAATGCCTTATTTTTTTAAAAGTGTTTAAAAGTTGGTCAAAGAACTGACCAAATAAAAATTAAGTATAGGATTATTATATTACAAATTAACTTTAAATTTTGATATACACATTATAAAATACTGAACAAAATTTAGCATTTTGTTTAATATGTCTTAAAATATTTTTCTCAGGGTAGTATTAGATAGTTAATAAGTTACAGAACACTTAAACATTTTGAAGTACTGCTACACAGCATAAATCCTATTCACATAAAATAATTAAACTATTCCAAGGTAAGCAAAACAAAAGTATATAAAATGAAATTATGATAAGGCCTAAAGTGATTCAAATTTAACCAATTCCTTTTCGTAAATGTGCATATAACAGAAGCTGAATTTAATCCATCACTTTATTTTACAGTCTTTATCTTACTGTAAAATATACTTAAATCATAGATTTTACCAATATTTTCCCAGAAATCATAATGACTATGCAGAGCAAATGGGCAGCTAGTTTATTTACTGAAGGAAATTGAGTCCTTCTTTCCAGTATCACCTTTGCACAGACATTATGGAAAAAACTGATAGCTTAATCTCAAAAAACTGTATTTCTACAAAGGCAGTAACTCATTACAATTCTGGACATACCACATAAACTGCATCGTTTAAGTTTAAATTGAGCAGTAGAGCTTTTGAACTAGAGGTACTTTTGAAATGTTGTATGTTGTCAGTGCTCTAACAAAATAGCTCCATGAAATACCTGTATATTCACAAAATGACTGTTATAGTGGCACAAAACCTCAATCTGAAATAAAAATGGATAAGATTGCACAACACCACCTCTTCTACAATTTTAGCTCATCTTTGCCTCCCACACTCTCCCTGACTGGGCTAATCTGATCTTATTTTCTAAGAATGTCCAAGG